GACAAAAATTAAGGACTCATTCATTGAATATTTTTGTGTGCAATCCATTTGAGGTTACTTCTGAGGTTAATTCAGCAGAATGGAAGATCCAAGATGTATGAATAGGGAAAAGAGGTGCTGATTTTGACCACAGGAAGATAACAGAAGAAAAGTAAAGTAGCTGCATTCCAGAGGAGAGTTGGAGAGAGGTTTTCAGGGGAAATTCTACGGAAAGAAGAGAATCTCCTTGAAGGAGTGTGGACACTACAAACACGGAGCAGTGGGCAGTGACAGCACTGCCAACTCCCACAGCTGAGGGCTGGAGAAGCCATATTCTTGTGACAAGGTGAGAAGAGTCTGTGACAACACATGTCACTGGTGATATTGCCTGATTGGGAACTTTGTGGACACACTGACTTGATTCTGGTCTGGAACTTTTGTGGGGCGCATAGTGCCCATTTTACCTCCATGAAAAGAGAGCACATGGCTTTCTTCCCATTCCCTACAAGGGTGTCTGGGAACTAGCAGTGGGGAAGTGCCACCTTAATAAGGTGAATAGAAACTGCTATGGTTCACATGCATTTGATTAGGAAATTTTATCACAGAGATAAATACATGGTTCCCATTGACTTTGAGACTGGCCCTGAGGGTTGGCAGGGATAGGCACCCTGGGAGGCACTCACCACCCCTCACTCTTATCATGAGCACCCAGACACAAACTTTCAAGGTGGAGCACTGATAAGAAGCTGACTCTGGGAATGCCTTGGCTCTCCATATAAATAGGGCAGGATCAAAGGGCTGAATGAATCCACTGCTCCCCATGACTGTGGGAGCCTTGTGCTCTATGGCTGGGGAAATTCTGTGACTACACAAAAGGTAGGGAATGTGATATATCTGAGTCTCTGGGCAATCACTGGGTCTGGATTCAGAGGCTCATAGTTTCCAGAGTGCCTGGGGTGGGTCATTGCACAGATTTCATGCTTACACTTAGGATCTCATAGATCCTTGGTGTGGACCACACACCTATATAGGTTGGGTGTGTAGCCACTGTTGGCTTATCCTGGGCATTGATCATCTTGGCAAAGATGAGGTGAGGTTATGATCACACCAGATGATGTGCTCATACCCTACACCCTACTGACATTAGAGGAGATCATTCACACTCAGATTGGGTGTCATCCTGAATTCTTGCTCCACACTTGAACACTGACTAGAACTCTATGGTCCCACCCACTCATGACTCTGAGTATCCACTCAAGCAAAAGACACTAAATCACAGCATATTTTAAAGATAAGAGCCAGCAGAGGAGAAAATCAGCAAGTGTTTCTACAAATAAATGTAGAAATATAAGAAACATGATCAAGGAAGACAATAAGACTCTTCCAAAGGAATACCACAGCACATCAATGATAGAATCCAAAATCAAAGGGATTGACAAATTTCCTGAAGAGGAATTCAAAATAATGGTCATAAAATTACTCAAAAATACAGAGAAGGAAATTCATAAGTTAAAGACATCCATGCATGACATAGCTGAAAAATGTTGCCAGGAGGTAAAGAGGTTGAAGGGAGATGAAACTGAAATACTACAAATGAGAATTCAGTATGTCAGATAAAAATAAAATAGAAAGTGTTAACAATATAACGTGTAGGAGAGAACAAAGAGCTAGAAGACAAATCTTTGGAACTATTTAAGACAAATGAAAAAACTGAAAATAGTGTATGAGAATTATAGGATACTATCACATGACCTAACATAGATTCTTAGTAGTTCCTGAAGGTGTGAGAACAGAGAATGGACTAAAAGACTTATTCAGTGAAATAATGGCAGAGAACTTCTTTAACTGGGAGAGAGATATTGACAGGCAAGTAAAAGAAGCACATAAAACTCCTAACAAACATGATCAGAAAAGAGGTTACCAAGACACATTATTAGACAAACTTTCAAAAGTAAAACATAAAGAAAAGATGCTTCAAAAATATCCAATTATACTGGCAGATGGTTTCTCATGAGGAACCCTACTGGATAGGAGAGAATGGAAAGATATAGTCCAAGTCCCAAAAGAAAATCAACAACAACAAACCTTAACAAAGAACATTAAACTCAGCAAAGCTGTCATTTATAAATGAAAGTAAAATAAAGATATTCCAAAATAAGCAGAAATTATAAGAATTTGTCACCACACATCCAGCCTTACAAATGACACTTAAGAATGTGCTACAAACAGAAACAGAGGAAGATAGTCATTATTATGAAAGAATGTGAGGGAAGAAAAATCTGCTAGTAAAAGTACAAAGGAAATCCAAAGCAAATAATAGGAATTTTTATGGAAAAATGGCAAGACCAAGTCACTATTTATCAATAATAATGTAACTAGCCTAAATTCCCCAATGAAAAGATATAAACTACTGGAATGGATAAAAATAAGACCCATCTATTTGCTGCCTACAAGAAACACATCATCAACAAAGATAGACAGACTGAAAGTAAACGATTAGAAAAAGAGCTTTGTGATATCAGAAAGCAAAAATAAGCAGGAGCAGCAATCCTAATATCAGACAAAATAGACTTTAACATAAAAACAATTAAAAGAAACAAAGAAGGGCTTTATGTAATTATTAAGGGATCAATTCAAGACGAAGTTGTAGTAAATATATAGTGACCAATACCAGGGTGCTTGGAAATTTAAAACAAATATTAATGGATCTAAAGGGAGACATAGACTCCAATACAGTAAGAATAATGGGTAACTTCAATACTGCACTATGATCAATGGACAGGTCAACTAGAAAAAGAAAATCAACAAAGAAGCAACAGTACTAATCTACATTGTGGACCAAAGGTTTCTAATTTATATCAATGGATACAAATTAGGAAAATATAGAAAACCTAAATAGACTAATAAACAAGTTAGAAATTAAATAAGTAATAAATACCCTCCCAGAAAAGAAAATCCTCTTCTTCAGATATTGATTTGAAGCCAGGAGCCAGGTGCCTCTCCTGGTCTCCCACACAGGTGCAGGGCCCAAGGACTTGGCTCATCCTCCACTCAACTCCCAGGCCATAGCAGAGAGCTGGACTTGAAGAGGAGCAACCAGGACAGAACCAGCACCCCAAGTGGGACTAGAACCCGGGTTGCTAGCCCTGCAGGCAGAGGATTAGCCTATTGAGCTGTGGCACAGGCCACCAGGGGACATTATTAAACTAGGGGAACTAGATATTGAGCCTGGCCTTGTACATGGGTAATACACACCTGGCTCTTCTAGCAAATAACTGTCTCTATCCAACATTGAGGATCCCTACATAAGACGCACTCCTTATTCATCTATCTGGATTAGCAGATTCTATGAGTCACAGCTTTATTTCTATCTGTATTTCTTACTTCTCAGATATGTACATTTGTATGTATTTGTAAATGTATACCTTTCCAGAAATAATGGTAGTAATGATTTTGTTCTTAGGATGCTGAAGCATCCAAGATGCAAAGTTAAAAGTCACACAGGTAAGGAACCATTTATTGTACTTTTAGTGTTTCTCCATTTCTGCTTAAATCTGTGGACATTCAGTAAAGATTTATATACATTTCCATAAGTGTATGTAGCCTGATTTTTTCCAAGACAGGAATTTTTGCAAAAGATACTATGTAGACGTCAACCACTCATTGGTGACATCACCCTGGAGACTTTGCTGAGCTGAGTTTAGAGGGGAGCTGTACATGGGAATCCACATCCCCACTCACTGCCAGCAGTTGTGCTAACCATCTTTATGCAGTAGCAGTGGCCCTTACTTTAGACAACCTACGTCAGCATCTATGAGGCTTGCTGGCCCAAACCCAGGCTCTGACCAAATAATTGGTATTAATTTTCGAATTTGAGGTGAATCACTCTGTTGATACAAACATTAGTGGAGGTGTTTTGAGTGTATTTGAAAGCTGTGGATTGATTTTATACACAAAATTTGGTGTAATTCTGATGAATTTTTTTCAAATTGTGCATTGTATTATACCTACACCAGGTAATCTTTATAGTTTTTTTTTTAATTTTATGCCAAACTTTATTGAGGTAATATTAACAAAGAAATAATGTATCTACTTTTTAGACTTTATTTATTTTAAAATTTTAAGGTAAAAAATTTAATGTATTTCTCATATATAGATTTAGGAAAATAGTGATACTTCCCACCCTACCATCCCTCTTGACCATGTTCCAATACTTCTTACTCCTTGATCTCTTATTCTGTTTTTTGACAGGCAGAGAGGACAGTGAGAGAGAGAGAGACAGAGAGAAAGGTCTTCCTTTTTGCCATTGGTTCACCCTCCAATGGCCGCTGCAGATGGTACACCGCACTGATCCGAAGCCAGGAGCCAGGTGCTTCTCCTGGTCTCCCATAGGGTGCAGGGCCCAAGCACTTGGGCCATCCTCCCCTGCACTCCTGGGCCATAGCAGAGAGCTCTCATGGAAGAGGGGCAGCAGGGACAGAATCCGGTGCCCCGACCAGGACTAGAACATGGTGTACCGGCACCACAAGGTGGAGGATTAGCCTATTGAGCCGTGGCGCTGGCCTTTATTCTGTTAATTTTTATAATGATCTACTTTCAGTTTACTTTATACTCATAAGGTTGACTCTACACTAAGTAAAGACTTCAACAAATACTAAGAAGAAAAATAAACTGTTACTCAACAGTAGAGACAAGGGCTACAATCAATCACAAGTTCTCAAAATGTTCATTTCACGCATATACCATACATTTTGGTATTCTGTTAGTTACCACAGACCAATGAAAGCATATGGTATTTGTCTTTGAGACTGGCTTATTTCACCAAGTAGAATGGTATCAAGTTGCATCCATTTTGTTCCAAAACACAGGATGTCACTTTTATTTGAGGCTGAGTAGTATTCCACACAATTTCTTTTTTTTTTAACTTTTATTTAATGAATATAAATTTCCAAAGTACGATTTATGGATTACAATGGCTTCCCCCCCATACCGTCCCTCCCACCCACAACCCTCCCCTTTCCCACTCCCTCTCCCCTTCCATTCACATCAAGATTCATTTTCGATTATCTTAATATACAGAAGATCAGCTTAGTATACATTAAGTAAGGATTTCAACAGTTTGCTCCCACACAGAAACATAAAGTGAAAAATAATAGATGATTTTTTAAATGATGATGAAATCAGAGCAGACCTATTGTCATGTTTAATCCCAGTGAGAGTCAAGTTGGGAGTTGATAATTTTTTTTTTTTTACAGAGGATCAGTTTAGTATGCATTAAGTAAAGATTTCAACAGTTTGCACCCCCATAGAAAAACAAAGTGAAATATATTGTTTAAGTACTTGTTATAGCATTACATCTCAATGCACAGCACATTAAGGACAGAGATCCTACATGAGGAGCAAGTGCACAGTGACTCCTGTTGTTGACTTTACCAATTGACACTCCTGTCTATGGCATCAGTAATCTCCCTATGCTCCAGTCATGAGTTTCCAAGGCTATGGAAGCTCCTTGAGTTCTCCGACTCTTATCTTGTTTAGACAAGGTCATAGTCAAAGTGGAAGTTCTCTCCTCCCTTCAGAGAAAGGTACCTCCTTCTTTGAAGACCTGTTCTTTCCACTGAGATCTCACTCCCAGAGATCTTTTGCCAGAGTGTCTTGGCTTTCCATGCCTGAAATACTCTCATGGGCTTTTCAGCCAGATCCGAATGCCTTTAGGGCTGATTCTGAGGCCAGAGTGCTATTTAGGACATCTGCCATTCTATGAGTCTGCTGAGTATCTCACTTCCCATGTTGGATCACTCTCCCCTTTATATATTCTATCGGTCACTGTTAGCAGGCACTAGACTTGTTTATGTGCTCCCTTTGACTCTTAGTCCTTTCATTATGATCAATTGTGAACTGAAATTGATCACTTGGACTAGTGAGATGGCATTGGTACATGCCACCTTGATGGGATTGAATTGGAGTCCCCTGGTATATTTCTAACTCTACCATTTGGGGCAAGTCAGCTTGAGCATGTCCCAAATTATATATCTCTTCCCTCTCTTATTCCTACTCTTATGTTTAACAGGGATCACATTTCAGTTAAATTTCAACACTTAAGAATAACTGTGTATTAATTACAGAATTAAACCAGTCATATTAAGTAGAACAGACAAAAAAAAACTACTAAGAGGGATAATGTATTAAGTTGTTCATTAACAGTCAGGGCTATGCTGATCAAGTCACCGTTTCCCATAGTGTCCATTTCACTTCAGCAGGTTTCCTTTTTGGTGTTCAGTCAGTTGTCACCGATCAGGGAGAACATATGGTATTTGTCCCTTTGGGACTGGCTTATTTCACTCAGCATGATGTGTTCCAGATTCCTCCATTTTGTTGCGGATGACCAGATTTCATTGTTTTTTACTGTGGTATAGTATTCTAAAGAGTACATATCCCATAATTTCTTTATCCAGTCTACCGTTGATGGGCATTTAGGTCGGTTCCAGGTCTTAGCTATTGTGAATTGAGCTGCAATAAACATTAATGTGCAGACCGCTTTTTTGTTTGCCAATTTAAATTCCTTTGGGTACATTCCAAGGAGTGGGATGGCTGGGTCGAACGGTAGGGTTATCTTCAGGTTTCTGAGGGATCTCCAGACTGACTACCTCCACACAATTTCTTTATCCAGTCATCAGTTAATGAATATCTGGGCTGATTTCATATCTTAGATGTTGTGAATTGAGCTGCTATAAACATGGAAGTGCAGATAACTGTTTCATATGCTGATTTCATTTCCTTAAGGTAAATTCCCAGGAGTGGGATTGCTGGGCCTTTGGTAGATCTAGATTCTTGAGCTATCTCCATACAGTCTTCACAAATGGCTGTAGCAGTTTACATTCCCACCAACAGTGGATTAGGTTACATTTCCCTCACATCCTCGACAACATTTATTGTTGATTCCTGTATGAGAGATATTCTAACTGGAGTGAGGTGAAACACCATTGTGGTTATTTGCATTTCCCTGATAGCTAGTTATCCTGAGCATCTCATGTGTCTGTTGGCCATTTAAATTGCCTCTCTTGAAAATTGCCTTTCAAGTCCTTTGCCAATTTGTTAACTGTATTGCTTGTTTTATTTCTTTTTTTTTTATTTTTGACAGGCAGAGTGGACAGTGAGAGAGAGAGAGAGAGACAGAGAGAAAGGTTTTCCTTTTGCCATTGGTTCACCCTCCAATGGCTGCTGTGGCCGGCGCGCTGCAGCCGGCGCATCGCACTGTTGTGAAGCCAGGAGCCAGGTGCTTCTCCTGGTCTCCCATGGAGTACAGGGCCCAAGCACTTGGGCCATCCTCCACTGCACTCCCGGCCACAGCAGAGAGCTGTCCTGGAAGAGGGGCAACCGGGACAGAATCTGCACCCCAACCGGGACTAGAACCCCATGTGCCAGCACCGCAAGGTGGAGGATTAGCCTATTGAGCCACAGCACCGGCGCTTGCTTTATTTCTGTTGAGTTTCTTGAGCTCTTTATAAATTCTGGATCTTAATCCTTTATCAGTTGCATAGTTTGCAGTTATTTTCTCCCATTCTGTCAGTTGCCTTTTCAGTTTGCTGAGTATTCCCTTTGCAGTACAGAAGCTACTCAGTTTGAAGTAATCCCATTTGTCAATTTTAGCTTTGGTTGCCTGTGCTTCTGGGGTCTTTTCCAAAAATTATTTGCTTATGCCAGTGTTTTGCCAAGTTTCTCCCAATGTTCTCTGGTAATTTTATGATATTACATTGTTGTTGTGGGTCCTTGATCCATTTTGAGCAGATTTTTTTCTGAGATGTAAGGTCTAGTTTCAAATTTCTACATGAGAAGATTCAATTGTACAGCACCATTTGTTGAAGAGACTACTCTTTCTCCTGGGATGGATTTTATCTCCTTTGTGAAAGAACAGTTGGTTGTAGATGTGTGTATTGATTTCTGGAATTTCTATTTTGTTCCATTGGTGTACATGTCTACTGTTGTGGTGGCATCAGGCAGAGTTAGACAGTGAGAGAGAGAGAGAGAGACAGGGAGAAAGGTCTTCCTTCCATTGGTTCACCTGCCAAATGGACGCCACGGCCAGTGCTGTGCCGATCCGAAGCCAGGAGCCAGGTGCTTCCTCCTGGTCCTCCATGCAGGTGCAGGGCCCAAGCACTTGGGCCATCCTCCACTTCCTTCCCAAGCCACAGGAGAGAGCTGGACTGGAAGAGGAGCAACCGGAACTAGAACTTTGTGCCCATATGGGATGCTGGCACCACAGGTGGAGGGTTAACCAAGTGAGCCATGGTGCCAGCCCCTTGTAGTATATTTTATGATCTGGTATTGTGACACCTCCAGCTTTGTTTTTGTTGTTTAAGATTACTTTAGCTATTCAGGTTCTCTTGTTTTCATATGAATTTTAGCACTGTTGTTCTGCTAGATCTCAGAAGAATGTCATTGGTATTTTGATTGATAATTCATTGAATTGGTAAATTACTTTTGATAGTATGGACATAATGATATTAATTCTTTCAATCCATGAATGTCATAGATTTTTCCATTTTTTGGCTTCTATTTCTTTTTTAATGTTTTGTAGTTTTAATCCCAGAGATCTTTCACCTCCTTTCTTAAATTTATTCCAAGCAACTTAATTTTTTGTAGTTCTTGTGAATGGGTTTGATCTTAGTTCTTTCTAGCCATGGCATTATCTGTTGTACAAAGGCTACTGATTTTGCTGCATTAATTTTATATCCTACAAATGACCAGACTTTTCTGAGTTCCAATAGCCTCTTAGTGTATTCTTTCAATTTCACTATATATAGAATCATGTCATCTGTAAACAAGGATACTTTGACTTCCTCCTTGCCAATTTGTATCCCTTTAATTTATTTTTCTTGCCTAATGTCTCTGACTAAATCTTCCAGGACTATACTGAATAGCACTGGTGAAAGTGGGTATCTTTTTCTGATTCTGGATTTTAGTAGAAACGCTTCCAACTTTTCCCCATTCAATAAGATGCTTGTTGTGTTGTTTGTCATAAATTGCCTTTATTGTGTTGAGGAATGTTTTTTCTTTAAGATTTTTTCATTTATTTGAAAGTCAGAGTTACAGAGTGAGGTAGAGACAGAGAGAGAGCTCTTCCATCTGCTGGTTCACCCCCCAGATGGCCACAATGGCTGAAACTGCACTGATCAGAAGCCAGGAGCCAGGTGCTTCCTCCTGGTCTCCCATGTGGGTGCAGGACCCAAGCACTTGGGCCATTCTCCACTGCCTTCCTGGGCCACAGCAGAGAACTGGACTGGAAGAGGAGCAACCAGGACAGAAACTGGTGCCCCAACTGGGACTAGAACCTGAAGTGCCAGTGCTGCAGGCAGAGGATTGGGCTAGTGAGCCACGGCACCGGCCTGAGATGAAATTTCTTGATGCAGGCACCAATTTCTATAAACTGCAATTTTAACACTGCTTTCACTGTATCCTGTAAGTTTTAATATTTTGTATTGTCATCTTCATTTGTTTAGGAATATTTTTATTTCCAATTTGATTTCTTCTGCAATCCACTGTTCATTCAGAAGCATGTTGATTAGTCTGCATGTGTTTGTGTATTTTCTAGATGTTCTTGAGTTGTTTCTCCATTTTCTCCAGCCCCTAGTGTTTCTGGTGAGAAATCAGCTGTGAATGTAATTGAAGGTCCTCTGAAAGTAATCTGGCATGTCTCTTGTATGCATTTTAGAAACTTCTCTTTATATTTTACTGTTAAAAGTTTGACTACAATGTATTGTGATAAGGCGTTTTTCTGGTCATGTCTATTAGGAGCTCTATGCGCCTTGTGTACTTGGATATCTCTTACTTTCTCCAAATTAGTAAAAATTTCTGTAATTGCTTTACTGAATAGGCCTTTTAAACCATTCTCTTTCCACACCTTCAGAAACTCTTATGACCCATAATTTGATAGTATCCCATAAATATCTAATATAGCTTTTAATTTTTCTAATTTCATCTTTTTTTGATCTAAGATATTTCCAAAGATTTGCCTTCTAGCTCAGATATTCTTTCTTCTGCATCAACAAATCTGTTGATAAGGCTTTCCACTATATTTTTCATTTGACATATCAAATGCTTCATTTCTAATATCTGCTTCTCAATTGAAATCTCAATCTCATGGGAAATTCTTTCCTCCATCTCATATATAGAATCCTATAACTCATGAGTTTGCTTCTCATTGCTTCTGAGTAATCCTATGATCATTCTTTTGAATTCCCTTTCAGGCATTTTCATCAATCATTTTCACATTCTAATATTGAAGTGTTGTGTTCTTTTGGGGGAGTCATGTTGTCTTCTTGTTTCTTGAATTTCTGCATTTATTTTTAAGTATTTGTGGAAATATTTGTTACTTTTCTATTTTGATGGATTTTATTTCTAAACCATACCCCCTTTGGCTTAGTGGAATGACTGTTCTTTCAGTTGATACAGAGACATGTTCTAGGAGTGTCCAGGAAGCTCTGGACAGTGCTCTAGAGTAGGGCAAATATCCAGATTAACACCCAACTTTGGCATGGTAGATCTCCTCTATTGTCAGCAGGGGGAAGTGTGTGGTCACCTCTGTTGGTATCTTCACATTGTTACCATCTCTCTTCCAAAGTGATCAAACCCAAGGCTTAGACCACCGTGGGTACAACACTCACTTGTACTACCACATGAACCACACAGCAGATCTGTAAAGTCCTTAATGTGAGCATGGATCCCACTGCTGGGACCCACTGAAGGTAATTGCAGAGCTCTGAGCTTCTGGTCCCAGACATAGTTATTGCCCAGAGACCCAGCTATACATTGTGCCCTATCTTAGAGTCAGAGAATTCTGAGCCACAGCATGCCATGCTCCCACATGGAGAGTGGGAGTGCAGAGGATCAATTCCACCCCACTACGCTGTTCTGTTGACAGAGAGAGCAAAGACGTTTCCAGAGCCAGCTGCCTGTGGGTGCTCCACTTAGAGTTTGAGCCCTGCAGCCTATATGTTGAGATGATGGGTCACCTCGCAGTTCTACATGGGTGCCTAGGCCCTGTCAAACCTCCCAGCCAGAATCAAAGTCAATGAGGAATACACAGTTTTCTCTTTCATAAAATCCCTTGATCATACCCGTGTAGCTGCTACTGGGGTCAAATGGCACCTTCTCCCCACCAGTTGCCAGGTGCCCTTGTGGGGGCACGGGGAGAAAGAATTGCTCTTTTCTTTTGCTGGGTTAGACAGGTACCCTGCCCCCTGTTAGCGCTCCAGGCCAGAATGAAAGACAATGTGATCCTCAAGGTTCTCCCTCTGGCAGTATCACCAGTGGCACAGGCTGCCTCAGTCTCCTGTCACCCCACTCTCCAATGCAGACAAATACCCCAGCTCTCAACTGCAGGAGTTGTGTGTGGAGTGTGCACTGGTTATTTTGTGTTGGCATCTTCCATGCTGATCCATGGTCTCCCTCTTCCTTCTGCAGGATTTCCAGAGCAAATTTCTCTCTGACTCTCCTCTGCAAATGCACTTCCTCTGCTTTTTGTTGTTGTTGCTGCTGTTTTCCTCTCTTCTAAAGCAGTATGTCTTTTCCCTATTCAGTCACTTAAAATCTTCTTTAGTGTATCTATCTTAAACATTTTTTTTAAAGTATGTACTTTCCATGCTGAGAGAGAGACAGAGTGCTCTACTCCTCTTATAAATGCCTCTATGTCTGCCGAGGCTGGGGTAGATGAGGGTTGAAGCCATGAGCTGGAGACTCAATCCAGGGTGATAGAAACCTAATTACTTGAGTCATCACCTGCTGTGTCCCAGAGTCTACATTGAAAGGAAGGTGGAACTGGGAGCCAGAGCTGAGACTCAAACCCAGTCACACCTATGTGAGACATTGGTCACATAACTGGTGTCTTAACTTCTAGACTAGATACCTTCCATCTCTATATTTAATGAGTACAATGCACTAAATATACATGTATATATAAAATATACATACACAAATACACATAAATATTGTGAAATGAGGAATGCAATGAAGCTAATTAACCTAACATCTTCCATACTGAAAGATCTACTCCTTCATTTAGCAAATTCTAACACTATGATATTAGTAACTGTAATCAAATTCTATGTTAAATCTCAGGAACTCATTCATTCTATTTAAATGGAACTTTGTATACTTTGGCCAACACCTCCCAATATCCTTAAACCCAAGCCTCTGGAAGCACCATTCTACTCCAGTTTCTACGTGCTTGATATTTGTCCTGTCTGATGTGATACATACTTGTTTTTCTGCATCTAGCTTACTTCACTTACTATAATGGGACATCTTTACGGAGTATAGCATAAGAATTCATTATATGTAGACAATTTGTGATGATCAAATCAGGCTGGTTTACATTTCCAGTTCCCTAAATATATTTTATATTCTTTTGATTGATATTAAATACTTTCACAGGTTTGGAGTATAGTGCGATGTGTCAAATATGTATAGTGTACATATGGTCCAAATGAGGACCATTAACATTCCCCCTTCCTTATTATGATAAGTTTGGAGCCTTTGAGCTACTCCCTTCTATTTATTCTGTTTATTCCTCCTGGATATAATGGGTTATGGTAAACTCCTGGTCTTTCTTTTCCATGTGATGTATGCATATCCCTTGAGTCATTGGCTCCCCAGGTTCATGCTACCCAATGCCAATGGTAGGATCATTGATCAAGAAAGTTAGCGTTTGGTAGGCAATGATGTCTTACTATGCTGCATAAGGGATTTGTGACAGGGTGACAAGTACTTTTGTGTACAGGGTGTGTGCTGCTGCATTTAAACATACATGTTTAAGGCTCATGTTGATGATCGATTAAATCTAATAAAGGTCTGGTGCTGCGGCTCAACAGGCACCACCTGCAGCACCAGCACCTGGGTTCTAGTCCCGGTTGGAGTGCCGGATTCTGTCCTGGTCACTCCTCTTCCTGTCCAGCTCTCTGCTGTGGCCTGGGAGTGCAGTGGAGGATGGCCCAAGTGCTTGGGCCCTGCACCCACATGGGAGACCAGGAGAAGCACCTGGCTCCTGGCTTTGGATCAATGCAGTGCACCAGCCGCAGCAGCCATTGAGGGGTGAGCCAACAGAAAAGGAAGACCTTTCTCTCGTCTCTCTCTCTCTCACTGTCCACTTTGCCTGTCAAAAAAAAAAAAAAAACCTAATAGTGTCTCCCTTTGTCTTGCCTATTTAGGCCAGGTACTGAAAAGACTGGACTTAACAGAGGTTGATCTTTGCTTTCTGACATGGTGCCACACACCTCTCAGAATTTGTGAGTTGATGAGGATTACTGTTTGTGTGTTACAATGCTCATGATGCTGCCAAAGCCTGCAATTTGGTGTACCTATTGCTACTTGGATTGTGTGATAACAGAGATCAGCTTATAATTATGTACAGCATTTAGGATCTCTGTGGATCTAATAATTCTTGGCACGTAAGTGCTGGGACTCCCTTGCATGGTGGTGCTAGTTATGTCATGGTTCGAAGTTCACTGCAGTCAGAAGGATCAACGGGGGCACTTATTTGCCTCTCTCACTTTGGCCATCAAGGTCTTGGGCAATTTGTGCATGTATCATGTCTGTCTGAGCTGTGGAAATGTAACTTATCTGTCAGACATTAGGCGGGGATAGGGTTGAATGAGTCCATTACATAAAGTTAATTACATAAAATGATCAGATTCTTCTCTATTTTGAGAAGTTAATCTTGAGCTGTGCATAGGAATGCATTGCCTGGGGAAAACACACACACACACACACACACACACACACTCATGCACACTTTTAAAAGCATACATGATCACTCATGAAAACTTCACAACATTGATGCACATAGACCCACACGATCTCTAAATGACACAGCTACTTCCAGGGCCTGCCTTAGATGCCCATAGCTCTGTGCTGGCCTATCTGTTCCTTTCACCACACCCGAGATCTTGTTATCCACCAGGAAGCTGGAATCGGATTGAATCACCAGAAGAGAACAGGCAGGAAGGTCCCACTCTCTCATCCCTTCAGCTTTTCCTCAACAACTGAGGGATTCCAGAACACGTACAGTTTTCACTGGATCTTGAGTCCATCTGTAATCAGAGAAAGAAAGTCAAGTCGCTATAGGACCACATTCTGTTTGCACAGGTCTCTTTTTCCCTTGCTTACTGTGGGAAACCTGATGCATGAGGCAGCTGCCCTCAGATAAAGCATAGATGACACTTGTGTGCAAGACATGACCTTTCACAGGTGACATTGCATGTCCATTTTGCTTGGCAAATACAAGATGCAGTTTTTTAAAAAGATTTTTTATTTATTTGAGAGAGCTAAAGATGGTGTGAGAGAGATACAGAGAGAAAGGTCTTCCTTCTGTTGGTTCACTCTCCAAGTGGCCACAATGGACAGAGCCGTGCTGATCTGAATCCAGGAGCCAGATGCTTCTTCCTGGTCTCCCATGTGCATGTAGGGTCCCAAGCACTTGGTCCATCTTCTACTGCTTTCCCAGGCCACAGCAGAGAGCTGGACTGGAAGAGGAGCAGCCAAAGAATGAAAAACTGCTACTGAACAAACGCCCTGTACCATATAACTTGTAAATGATGCTGTCATTTTTGAAGACCATCTTGAATCGGGTCACAATTAACAACAGGCATGCACTTCATTTATCTCAAGAAAACTGAGGTAGTCATCTCCAATGTATGTAGGCAGATTTTCATATTTGAGAAAAAACTAATTGTAAACAAAAAACAATTCTGTCTCCAAAATAAAGGTACCAATACCTTCGCAAAGGATATGGCTTTCTCCTCCACCCTGTCTTTGGGAAGTTCTTGGAGAACACAGGGTAAATGTCAGTAAATTTGCGTTGCGGATGAGTTAGGAAGGGACACTTGCATGCAGTGGACATAGAACTAGGCTTTGTGGGGTGGGTGGTGAACAGTGAACAACATGAAAAGTTCTGTGCTGCACTCAGTGACAGAGCAAGAAAAAACCCAGCCCTGCACCCACAAATAATTCAGGAAGGTCAACTGATGCAGGCTGTGAACTGTTCTGGACCATCTGAACTTTGGGACCACCCTCATTGATGGATGAAAGAAGGCCAAGAAGAGGGCTGGGAAATAAATAAGAAATGGAGTCTTGATATCTTTCCCAAAGCAACCAAATCACTATGAAATAGTCAGTTTAAGATTTTTTATTTGAAAGGCAGAGATAGGGAGAGAGGGGAAGAGGGAGAGAGAGAATCTTCTACCTGCTGGTTCACTCTCCAAATGGTTACAATGGCCAGGGTTAGGCCAAGTAAAACCAGGAGCCCACAGCACAATCTGGGTCTCACATGTGAGTGGCAGGGTCCCAGCACTGGGACCATTCTCCACTGCTTTCTCAGGAACAGGAACAGGGGGCAGGAACAGCAGCAGCTGGGACTCAAACTGGAGCTCTGATAGACAGAGGCTTTCCTCATCACATGAGAAGGCCCAAGCCAGGAACCTGGACTCCACCCACATCTCCCACACGGTGGCAGGGGACCACAGGCCGCTGCTTTCACAGGTGCATTAACAGGGAGCTGGACCAGAATCAAGGCAGTGGAGACTCGACTGGGCACTCTCATAGGAGATGCTGGAGTCACAGGTGTCAGCTTAACCTGCTGCACCACAGCAATGGCCAGAAACTGCCTGCTTCTATCGCTGTGTCTACAGTGAGGTAACAAAGTTCACTGCCCAAGACATAAAATGTCCATGTCTCATTTCTCTCCTCCCACACCCAGGAAGAGAAAGCAGCTTCTTCTCTTCTTCCTTCCTCTGCCACAGATCCTGCACCCCTGGCCCAGCAGGCAACTCTACTCACAGCTACTCCACTGCCTCTTGGTAACAGCTGATTCAAGAGGCACCACAGGCAAGCCCAGGGCCCTCCCTGCTCCCACACCCACAACACAGTTGCTCCAGGGCTGGCTTCCAAGCTCTGAATTCAAGACATGGTCCACAACAAGAACTCAGTGAACACTGGAAATAACATCCAAAAGTAGACTAACATGAAGCCGAGAAAACTCGAAAGTGTCTGCAACCCAAGCAACAGACCCAGGGTGAAGACCCTTAACATGTGAAAAGTCCCTACCAATCAACAAGCAAATCAGAAAGAGAAATAAAATTACTGGGTTCCGAAGTATCAATGAATGCTTAAAAATGCATTCTGGGGCCAGCGCTGTGGTGTAGTGGGCTAAGCTTCTGCCTGCAGCACCAGCATCCAATATCGGTGCCAGTTCTAGTCCCAGCTGCTCCTCTTCCGATCCAGCTCCCTGTTATGGTCTGGGAAAGCAGTAGAAGATGGCACCTATGTGGGAGACCCTGGAAGAAGCTCCTGGATCCTGGCTTCAGATCAGCATAGCCCCAGCTGCTACAGCCATTTGTGGAGTGAAAGAGCAGATGGAAGACCTTTCTCTGTCTCTCCCTCTCTGTAACTCCACCTCTCAAAGAAATAAATAAAATACTTTTTTTAAAAAAAATGCAGTTGTGTTTCTATGGTCACCTCAATAACAACACTATAACATTTCCACACACCAGAGAGGCAAAAATTCTAAAAATCAATAACATCCAGCAGTGTCAGGATAGAAGGAATTTTCTTTTTTCCTATTTTTTCAAATTAGACAAAGTAATATATGCTCATTTTCAGTAGTCAAAAAATGCAAACTGTTAACGTATTTTCAAAGAGACACATGCACTGATTTGTTTTCCTGACACCATACCACATAAATGTGTTTGTGATTCTGCAAATGAGCTATTTAAATACTTTGGAGAAATTTCAATGGCAGCAGAGAGATCAATCTCAAGCTTCCTCCAGCTGAATTCCTCCACACAGGTGTGCTCAAATGTATTCCACCAAGACTTGGCCAGAGGAATCTGCTTCCAGACTGCTTTCCCCAGTGTTAATACACAGCTGAGCATTCTGACACGTGGCTCTGTGGGATGGGTCCCTGGGAAGGGACTTGCTGAGGCCAAGGCAGCACAGCCCAGCAGGTTCCCACATCCTCACATTTCCAAGTTCTGCTGTTCTAGCCCTTCTCAGGTGAGGACTTGGAGGTTAGCTCTTGCCCTGGGGTCAGGTGATGGCTGAGCCCAATCCTCAGCTCTTCTCCCATGCTCGCCAGTGGGTGGACACTCTCGCCTTAGCGACTTCTGCCAAAGTGGTCAGCAGGGAAAAGCAGCGAGTGGGGGGAAGGCTGAGACAAGGACATGAAGCCACCCCCTCCCCATTCACAATGTCATAAAACTCCCAGTGCAGAACCAGGCAACTGAGCTTCCATGGTCACAGGGGTGGGGAGTGCAGCCCTCACAGGAGAGGCCACGTGCAGGAAGTCTGATGTGTAATGTGCAGGTCTGGACCTGCCCCCAGCATCACACAAGAGAGGAGACGAGCGGGCCATGCAGAGAAGCCCTGCCCTCCATCCGAGAAGAAATGCCAGAAATGGTGAGAGGGGAGGGGATTGGCACTGTTGGCCCCAGACCATGCCCCCAGTGACCACCTGAGTCCTTGGGGACACCCTGGGGACAGCAGGCGTGGGGCCCACCTGGGGCGCCCCACTGAGCAGCAGCCTGGGGGGCAGGTTGTCCATGCAACCCTCGCCCGGTTGCTGTAATCCATGTGGCTGGGCTGTGGCACCGTCCACTGCTGGTAGTACAGGGACTGCTCCGTGGACATCATGGTCTTGCTGAGTAGCGGGCGGAAGAAGCTGGCCCACATGACCAAGGGGGAGGGCAGCAGCGAGGCAGCCTTGGGCAGGCTGCTGCTGTCAGTGGCCAGGACCATGTCTGCAGGAGCTTGGGCAGGAAGATGATGGGCAGCGGCCAGCAAGCCTTGGCCAGGGAGCACTGTGGGGCCTACAGGATGAGGGCGCTGCTGGTGGCGGCCGTGTACAAGGAGCACGAGCCCGAGGAGGACGGCTGGCCAGATGAGGTGACCACCACGTGCAGGCTGCTCCACCCAGGGCTGTGTGTGCTGGCTGCGGGTGGGGGATCCTGGCTCACCTGGCTCCCCTGCTTCTCCCTGGGGACCCTGCCCTCCTCAGAAGGGCAGCTGGGCAGGGGTGAGCTGGCCTGCTCTCTCTGCAGGGGCCCCACAGGCAGAGCCCCAGGCTTGCCAATGAGCGTGGAAGCTGAGGAGAGAACACCGGTCAGGCGCGTCCCATGGGAACCTGTGCAGAGCCTATGCAAAGTCTGCCAGCTGCTCCCATGTCTACCCAACTCCCTGAGCTGTTTCTGGTGGCAGGAAGTGGCCCACTGGTCGGGGGCTTGGAGCCTGCTGGTCATGGCACCAGGCCGGCCACCCAGCTCACGGCTACCCATGGGTCAAGTTAGCCAAGAAGAAGAAAGGCAGCCAAAGGCCCCCCTGGGCCCTGCCTCAGGTCATGCAACAGGGTTTCCCAGCAGCCCCCAGCCAGCCCCTTGCACCCCAGGCTGGAGCTGCTGGAACTCCCAGAGCCCAGGCCCTGCACCCCTGCCCTTCAGCAGCTCCTCTGCCCAGGAAGCTCTCCTACTTGGGCCACTTCCTCCAGGGCCGGGCAAGGGGACACTTAGGGCAAGGGCCAGGGGAGGAGTTTTTGTTCACAGCCCTTCTCCTCTCTGCCAAACTCGGTTTTCGGCCTGAGGCCACAAGTCCTAGCAGCGAAGCCTCCCATGTCTATTCACCTAGACAGGGGACACCTCATCCTCACCCCTACTCCCAGCATAGGTGCTTTCCAAATCAGTAGCTTCACTGAGGACATGGCCACCACTCCCAAGATGGCCCTGGCCAGGGGCAGACCCCATGGTCCTCTCCGGGCCCACCCCTCCCCAAAGCATCCAAGCCCTTGGGTCCCAAGTTCACTCCCGTTCTGCTCCCTGGAGGACCCATGTCTTCAGAGTCTCCCTCCTTTTTCAGGACCCCATGGAGCTACACCAGTGCCAGCGAAAAGCACCTCCCTGTGTCTTCATTCTTGGAAACCTCAGCCCTCACCCAGCTCGGACCCCTGCACGGGAACTCACCGGACGCTGTGGAGGACGGGGTGAGGACGCTGAGTCCTGGGAGCAGGGCCTTTCCATTGTCACCAGGCTTACTCACTCCCAGGTAGAGCCTGCTTCAAAGCATACAGGCGCTGGAAAGGCATGGGCAGCTGTGACCCTGCTGCATGCCCAGCCCTTCACACATCATCTCCTCTCCCCCTACCCACTGCTGGAGCATGGAGGTGGCAGAATGAGAGATGTGGAGGTGGCCATGGGTGCTCCCAGACCATAGGCTCCCACCCAGGCAGTGCAGCTCAGAGGAGGACCACGTGGTCAGCAGGTGGCGCTGCAGCCATCTCATCCCACTCCACAAAGGCCTTGTATTTTTCATGTGCTTGGCCTTCTTCTCATCCCCCTTGGCCACAGCCAAACACCCTCTGCCACTCTCATTTGTGTGGTCTATGGGAGACCCAGTGTCGGGCTGCAAGGGGCTGCAAAGGAGACCAACCAGCTCGCACAAACTGTGGTCATGGACAGCACAATGGTGGCTCTGTTGGTGTAGGGGCAGAGAAAGAGGGAGCCCAACACGGGAAGGAATGCAGCTAACAATAGGAACAAAGCCTCAACCTAGCCCTAGGAAACCTCAACGTCCTTCTCAGCCTCCAAGAGTTCTAGGGCAAGAAAGAACCCACAGGGACTTCCTACTGACCCCACCAAAACATAGGAGCAAAACGTGTATTGAGTGAGGGCTGCTCTGGAGGATCCCAGCCCCACGACCACGTGGCAAGGACCCCAGGGGGACAGGCGGGCCTCACCTTCAGTCCCTGCTCCTCCTCCTCATTGTTCGTGTTGCTCAGCGTCTCTGTGTCACTCTCCAAGGCCTCGCTCCTGGGCCCCTTGTCCAAGGGCAGCTCGCTGCTCACAAAGTGGGCGGCCAGGCCCAGCTCCTGCTCCAAGGCCATTCTTGCCAAGCATGAGGAGTTGATCTGGTGCAGAGACCAAGGAGGCAGGCACAGTGTTAGGGAGTGCCCTGTGCAGAGCAGGTGCCCAGGGGGCTGGGGACCCCTGACCTCCTCCTTGTGATGGCAGGACCGGTGCCCGTGGGAAGACAACCATGCTTCTGTGAGCCTTCACAGCAATGCCAACTTGCCGGCAAGCCTCTGGGGCGCCTGCTGCATTTCCGGCTTGGCTGCATGTGATTGAAAGAGCAATGATTTCAGGGTCAGGTGACACAGGGCTGGAATCCAGCTCGGCCACATCCACATGACAGAACCTTCTATAACTATGCAACTTCTCTGAGGCTTTGATTTTAAAAGATCTGCTTATTTACTTGAAAGGCAGAGTTTCAGAGAGAGAGGGAGAGAGATATCTTCCATCTTCTGGCTCATTCCCCAGAATGGCCACAGTGGCCAGGGTTGGGCCAGGCCAAAGCCAAGAGCCTGGAACTCCATCCAGGTCTCCAACGTGGGTGCAGGGAGTTCAGCAGCAGCCCCACCCCTAACCACAGGTGCCTTTCTGAGAAGTGGGAAAAAGCTGCTTGTGCTTCTGATGAATATCACTGCCATCTGCTGGAAGCTCCTAAGAATTACACCACCTACCATAACCATAGCTGACAGTGAAGGGCGCCACCTGGAGCCAGGCCGTGGTAACACAAGGACTCCCTGAGCTGGTCCACCCCACTGAAGAAGAGGATGCAAGGCAGGCCCTCCAATTCCAGGTAGGTCTGGGGTCTCCATGCTGCATCCTCGATGTTCTGCCACATCTGCAGATAGTTAGAAAGAGATGAGGTCCAGAGGCTCCTTCCTCCCCCCGGGCCCAGCTGCCCAGGACCCGCATGTTCTCTGAATGATTTAAAGCCCTCACCATGCAGCTCTCTGCACTGCAGACAAGCACACCGTCCACTTTGTTCCCCATTAGGTGTGAGCGTCCTATCCCTTTCTGTACTTTATTCATTAATTTTAGAGGCAGGGAGGCAGAGGAGGGGGTTAGGATGGGGGAAGATAAAGAGTGTGCTCCTCCACCCACCAGTTCACTCACCAAACACCTACAATGGTGGGGGCTGGACTGCAGGGACCTGGGCCCAGCCCCAGCAGTGGGGCAGTGTGTCCTTGTGAAAGGGGAAATGACATTGAGCTGGGTCCCACAGCAGAAGGAGAAATGCACCGCAGGATGCAGGAAAAGCTGGGACAACCCTAGGGGTGTGAGAAAGGTGACCCCAGGTCCAGGGAAGCAGCATGGAGAGCTGCACAGTGGAGAAGTGGCCCTGGGCCAGAGGAGTGGTGGGGTCCCAGGAGACCAGCAGGCATCCGTGGTGCCCACCATTAGCTGCTTTACGAAGTGCTTGCTCACCGTGGCGTCCATGCTGGGGGTGCCCCGGATGATCCAGAAGCACTCCTGCAGTGCCAGGCACGCACACACGTGGGCCAGGGACTCCTCCGCGCAGGGCACATGCATCAGCACCATGAGCCCGTGTCCACAGGGGCATTGTGCAGAAGCATGCAGCAGGTGCTGTGTGATCTCCAGCTTCTCCACTGACACATGATTCCTCCTCTGCCACAGGCCACTCCCAGCCATCAGCACAGCTGCCTAGTGCTACAGAACAAAGGTCTGGATTGCCACACTGTGCAGCTGGGGAATCAGACACACGGATGTGGTGTCCCTTTGTGCTTCCCAGCCCCTGGCACCCCGAAGCGGAATACTCAGCATGTGCAATGAGCAAACGGATGGAGGAAGGAAGGGCCTGTGCAGCTCTCAATGGCTTCCGGAAGGCTCCCCAAGGAGGCAGGTGAAGCTCCCAGGGCTCCCCCTAGCATCAGGAGAGCCTGCAGCTACCAACAGGCAGAGGCAGCCCCTGCCCCTCAGACCCAGGGCCCATCTTCCACAAACTGCTTTGTTTCCATTACAGGAGTCATGTTTAACAGATGAGTCTTAGAACACATGAAGTCAAGCTGACAGTTACCATGCATCCCCACAGAGCTGGTGGCTCCAGGAACAGCTCTGACCCACACATCAGGAACAGGCCCCAGGACCCGCTGGAAAAACCCAAGTCCCCCTGGGTCACTGTGTGCCTCCCAGGAGCATAGAAATATATATGCTCCGTTTTTTTTGAAAAGATTTATTAATTATTTGGAAGGCAGAATTACAAATAGAGGGAGAAGGAGACAGACAGACAGACAGACACACACACACACACACAGACACACACAGATCTTCTATCCACTGGTTTACTCCCCAAATGGCTGCAATGGCTAGGGCTGGGCCAGACCAAAGCCAGGAGCCAGGAGCCAGGAGATTCTTCCGGGTCTCCCACATGGGTGCAGGGGCCCAAGCACTTCTGCCATCTTCCACTGCCTTCCCAGGACATTATCATGGAGCTGGACCAAAAGTGGAGCAGCCAGGTCTGGAACCCGTGCCTATATGGGATGCTGGCATCACAGATGGCGGCTTAACTTGATATGCCACAGTGGCGGACCCAGACATCCAGTTTCCAAACAGTGCCCTTGTGAGTTCCTGTAGCTGGAGTGAGTGCCCCTGAACCTGCAAAGCTAGGAATCATGCAGTAGCCAGGCACTTGTATGTGCTCTTGGGGCAGCCAGCTGACACCTGGATGACACTTCTGCTCCCTCCTCTTCTTCATTCTTCCCTGAGCAGGGCAGCTGCTTTTTTTTGGGGGGGGGGGTTGTAAACTGGAAGCCTGGCCTAGTGGACTTGCCAGGACTTAGCACAGTTCCAGGAGGGCATAAGTGGTTCATGGGGTCTGGCACAAAGGGGACTCAGTGGCCCAGGGACTTCTTACCCTGCCCCTGGTGCCCAGCCAGATGGCATGGAGGGAGGGAAGGACAGAGGGAGTGGGTTAACTCTCTTCTGCTCAAGGGCAAGCAGAGACTTCCACTTCTGGCCATGAAAGAGTTGCAGGGATCAGGTTTATCCTCCCAGGGGGTGGAACAACGGTGTGTCAAGACCTTGGTTGTCCGAGCCTCCAGCCCCTGCCTGCTCAGGAAGGGAGAACCAAGGCAAAGCCCAGGGGTCTCTCCAAGTTGAACTGAGATGTCAGATTCCAGGGAAACCAAGGCAGCTGCGTGGCACAGCCAGAGTGCCAAGGAGGAGAGAGCTGTGTAGACAAGGAGAGCTCCAGAGATCTGCAGCGCCCACCCCCTCAAGTCTTCAGCTGAGCTGTGGTTAGCACTGGTTAGGTGAGGAGGCTGCCCAAGGCAAGGAAAGGATGTGCTGCTGTGAGCCCCCGGGGTTGGAGGCAGTCCCTCTTCCCTCCTGAGATGTGGAAGACCTCAGAGGCAGGGGACACTGCCTGCTGCTCTGCTCCTGCCTGGCAATGTTCAGCAGCAAGGATTGAACTGTTCCAAGCATCTTCACTGTATTCCAGGAAGAAAAACCAAAACTCACTATTTCTAAGAATACCAACATATGTAACACCCAGTAAGGTAAACTTCACAATGACTAGCACCCTCTCAAAAATGATCAGATAAGAAAAGCAACAGAAAAAACAAGCCTAAGGAAGAGAAGGCCAGCCAGTCAACAGAAACCAACCCAGAAATGCTACAGCTGAATCAGCAGACAGGAAACCTAACACAAGCACCCTGCCTGCGTTCTGTATTCAAATAACTAGAGGAAAAATGGAATGTGCTAAGTGGAGATGTCTTTAAAAAAACAAATTACAGAGGTGAAAGCTATTTCTAAATAGGACCCTGAGTTCTCCCCAGGAGCCATTGCCTCTGTCCATGGTCTCACCCTGCCAGCCACAATAAGCTGGCTCAGGAATGGGAACCTGACCCAACAAGGGCCAACAACATGTTTCCAGGATTATTCCCCCTGAAGAAGTCAAAGACTGTGAGGTCCACTGACAACCACAGGTAATGCTTTTCAGCCCCTGGGCGATGCCCACGGGTATAAGCTATGTATAGTAAAGCCACTCCAGAGACAGCCAAGGCAGGATGGCACTGTTGTGACAATGGTTGAACACCTAACACAACTACTCTCAGAACCATCAGTGGCTCTGCTTAGCCTTTTACTTCATGAGCCAATACATCCCTGTTCTTCCTAAAGAGTTCAAGCTTGGTGGTAGGGTGGGGGCAGCACTGCAGCATAGCGGGTTAAGCCTCCACCTGAAGGGCCGGCATCCCATATGGATGCCAGTTCCAGTCCCAACTGCTCCACTTCTGATCCAGCTCCCTGCTAATGCACCTGGGAAAGAAGCCGAAGATGGCCCAGGTGCTTGGGCCTCTGTACCTGCATGGGAGACCTGGAAGAAGCTCCTGGCTCCTGGCTTGAACCTGGTCCAGCCCTGGCTGTTTCAGTGATTTGGAGAGTGAAACATTGGATGGAAGCTCTCTCTCTGTAATTCTGCCTTTCAAATAAATAATTATTAATTTTTAAAAAATATTTAAACTTGAAAACAGCAGCAGAAACCAAACTGACTGAGGAAAAAAATGAAATGGAGGCAGGGACCCAGCTTCAAGCAGCCTGATCCTTGTGTGATTGTTTTCCTCTCTGATAGAGGTGGGTGGGAGACAGAAAGGCTGAACTTTTGAAGTAAGGCTGAATTTGCTCAGATGTGATGAAAACTCAAGCACAAGAAAGATGAAGAGAATTATGCCCAGCCATGCCGAGCTTGTATGGCTTTAAATGAGTGTGTGTTTTAAAAGCTTCCAAGCCACCAGCAGGGACAGGGGAGACAGCAGAGAGACACAGCAGGGATGATGTTTCTGGACTGAAATGACGCAAGACACAAGACAGCAAAATAGCACCTCTAACGTACTAACAGAAAAAGTCGGTCCAGCACTTATGAGGCCTTCCAGGGAAAATCGCTCTTGAGGATGAGGCAAAGACAGACTTTTTCAGACATACAAAAGCTGAACAAGTTCATCACTAGCTGACCTGCTCTATAAGAAATGTTAAATGAAGGCCTTAATACAAGGAGGAGACTGAGCTGTGGTGTAGCGTCAAGTCTCTGCCGGGGACACTGACATCCAGTGACACCAGAAGATAGCCCAGGTGTTTGGGCCCCTGCTACCGAAGTGGAAGACCTGGAAGAAGCTCCTTGCAGCCATCTGGAGATTTAACCAGTGATGTAAGTCCTCTCTGACTTTCAAATAAATTAAATCATTTTTTACAAATGTGCAAAACGGAATTAAAAGACCAGGTTTTTTGGTGCAAAAAAAAAATGAAATCCACTCACACTTTCTTCCCACTACCTATTCTTTTTAAACTTTTCAAAGTCTCCTCAAATGCATGGACTCTAGAGTTTACTTTGGTACAAAAAGATTTTATCTTTTAATTCCATTTTCCACAAAATTTTGAACACTCTCATAAGCTGCTGAAAGAATCTTAAACATGACCTGAGAGCACAGTGTGGTTAGATGTAAACCATACATGTAAGGCAGCCATGAGAGAGTGCAGCAGTTTGTATCAGATAGTATAAATAATCTAGAGATGATTTAAAGTATACTTGAGAATGTGCATAGGTTCTATGCAAATACTGTACAATTTTCCATAAGGACTTGAGCATCCATGGATTTTGATAATTGCTGGGGTTCTGGAAACAACCCCTCATGGACATGGTTGGATGACTGTATTTATCTTACAAAAATAGTATCATATTATCTCCCAAATTTTGTGTCTATGAGTGTGCATGTCTAAATAATATCATGGTGTTCTTTGCACATTTTTTAAGAAAACTTTTATTTAATAAATATAAATTTTGAGGGGAGGTTCCAAGATGGCGCACTAGGGAGGGAGCTTACTGAT